GAGTTTTTACTATTACATGGACATCTGGCTCATTCTGAACTGGAGTCTGCCAGTCATACTTTGCAGCACCTTTTAGTTAATGCTCGAGTGGGCTGGTTAATCAAACTGGAGAAGTCCTACCTCAGACCTACTCAATATCTCGTCCGTTTGAGGGTCCTTTTTGACACTCATATCAGTCGTTCCCAGCCTTCTCCCTTAAGAATTTGTTCTATGGAATTGTTAGTTCACTATGGCCTTTCGCTCAATCATTTACTGCTAACAAGGTTCTATCACTTTTGGGGATGTAGTCTTTAATAACATCAGTGGTCCCTCTTGATTGTGCCCATATGATTTCCCTTCAGTGGGCTCTTCACGATCAATGCAACTTGCATAGGATCCTCTTTCTACTTCCAATTACCCTTCCTCTTTCCTGCAAGATGATCTGCTATGGTGGTTGGACAAGGCACATACTTCAGCAGGCATGCCACTTCCTCCTCTGCGTCCAGATCTACATCCCTGCAGGGCTGGGGTGAATGGTTCAACCATCAGGAAGCTTCAGGCTGTTAGTCTGTGGACGAAAGCACTTTGCATATCAATGTTCTCAAACTTCTAGCTGTAATTTGGATGTTGAATCACTTCCTTTTTCTCACCTGACATTGTCTGGTGATAGTTCATTCAAATAATTTTATGGTGGTACACATATCAATCACCAAGGGGCACCCAGTCAAGAGATCTATGTTTTGGATGTTGGATCTCTTATACTCAGCTCACACACAACACATTAATCTCATTGCGTGTCTTTCCCACCCTGACTGGATATATCTGACAGAGTGGTCTTTAGATCCCCTTGCTTTCAGGGAGTTTTGCACTTGGTGAGGTTCTCCCCACATGGATGCCCTTGCTATGAACCTCATTCACAAGTTACTGCTCTTTTGGTCACCAGTCCCTCATCCTCCGGCTCTGGCAGTCGATGCCTTCAGCCAAGATTAGTTCCACAAATATCTTTATTTTTATCACCCTATCAGATTACTTCATTGAGTAATCTCTCTCATCTCTTCGGGTCCTTCTGATTGCTCTTTATTGGCCAGCTCAGCCATGGTTTCCACGGTTAGAGCATCTGCTTCTCTCCCCTCCTGTACCTCTTCAGTCATCTCTCTACCTTCTTCATCAACCTCAGTCACTGGTCCTACATCCTGCCCTTCAAATCCTACATCTTCGTGCCTGGCTTTTATCCGGTCCTTGGCAAGGAGATCCGGTTTCTCTCATCAAGTTGTTTTCTTTTTAGCTGGTTCTATACGTCCTTCTTCCATGAAGGTGTATCAGCACAAGTGAAAGGTGTTCCACAGTTGGTCTACAACTCGGGGATTTCCCACTGACCAACCTACTGTGGCTCGAATGGCAGAATTTCTTGGCTTTTTGACCAGTGGTCCTCGGTCTCCTCGCTTTCGGGTTATCAGGCAACTTTATCCCATACCTTTTGTTCTTCCCAATATCATAGAGTTTTTACTTCACCTGTCATTATCATGCTAGTGCATTCCTTCCAGTTGCATTGCTCTCTCAGACAACCTACCCTTCCAGATTGAGGTGTTAATGTGGTACTCCATTCCCTCACTCTACCTCCATTTGAACCACTTTCCTTGTGTTCCATGTTTCATTTTTCCCTCAAAACATATTTCCTTCTCCTCTTAGCCTGTGGACATCAATGGTCATGTACACTTTATCACCCTACCTATCTTCTTATTTATCTAGATCTGCTTGGGAAGGTAGCTCCTTCTTTTTACCTATTTCTTATCTTTACACTTGGCTAGATCCAGATTGGCTTCTGTGTCTGCTCAGGGCTCTTTGTTGTTATATTGCCAGTTCGGCTTCCTTCCATGGCAACCGTTCCTGATTCTCTATCCCCTGGCAGTCTTCCCCTTTGTGATCTTTCACCTTCAACACTTACCAGTTGGGTTCAACAATTGATCTGATTGGCTTATTCCTCCTTACCTAATTCCTCCCAGAATTTGTTCCAGGTGTTTTCTCATCAGATTATACCTTTTCCCTTGCTCCTTGTCTTCCTGTAGCTCGGTATAGTCTGCTTTTCAAAACAGAGTTTTGTGATCACCCAGTGCACTGTGATGCCTTTCCTCTGGACTCTCCACTGCCTTTTCACCCTCCTTTCTTCTAGTGGATTATGGGAATCCTTACCACTTTCCATTTCCAAGCCACTGGGGCTGTTGACCATGGAAGCACCTTCCTGAATGGGTTCCACACAAAGATGGCTATAACCATTCAGTGCAGAGTAGCGTGGTGGGGTTCTGCAGGTGTAGATGACATACTGTCATCCTCTTTGAGATGTATAATTACGAAGGAGTGATACGTCAAAATGCAGTTTACCCCTTCAATTGGGAGCCCTCATCCTACTCCCATGTAGATGTCGGTACTGCATGGCTGGGTTTGGATTTAGAGTAGAATCTATCAACATAACTCCCCACATGTTTCAGGTGTCTATCTTCCTCCCTTGATTTCCTCCATCTGTATTGTGAGTCACAGAAGTGGTACATGTGATGGTTATGATTCTATCTTGGCTCTCCCTCATCCTATCTCAATAGGTGAGTGTTATTGCCTTTTGGACCATTCTGGTAAGTTTCACGATTGGGGGAGTTGATTGCATGTGATAGATATCCTTTCCATACCAGATGTTTGGTCCTTGGATTAATAGCTCATTGCTAATACTTGTGTCATACCTGGGAGACAGCATGATTCTAAATCCCACAGGCTCTTGGGTTTGAGGTGAGGATGGTGTGATCCTCATCCTACCCTTGCATGGATGTCGGTTCCCAGTGGCATGAGTTTTGGATGTAGTTGACTTACTGAGTGCTGTCATCACACCCTAGCTGCTCTACACCTGAGGGAACATCCATTGTTTTACCCACTTTTATATTCATGGGATTGAGTTATATTTATTTTATATAGTTAGGTTCACAATCCTGACACAATTCTCTTGCACTTAGATGTGCTCCTCTCCTTTTCTGGCCTTATCCTTCTTCAAATAGGGGTAAAGGGTATACCTGGTTCAGAAGTAGTGAGGTTACCCTCGTCTGATCTGACTCTCTCATTTCCATGGGTATCCTTTGGATGCTTTTGGGGGGGTACTTCAATAATTCCCTTGCACCGGACCCTCCTCCTATTCAATGTGGGATTCTAGCTAATTTTGTGAAAGGAAGTAAGTATGTATCAGAAGTTATAATTCTCCTATACTGAAAATATATTTCCGATAGGTACTTACCTCCTCCTACCCTTCCTCCTCACCTTCCTCTGGTGCTTAAGTCTTCTGCCAAACTTTGAAGAGATAGTTTGGTAGATGAGTATAGAGGGAGTCACATGAGCATGTTATGCTCTTATTGGTGGTGAAGTGACACATGATGATTTTCATGAGTGATACGTTGAAATATTACGATTCCAATAGGGGGAGCAGAAGGCTTGTGGCATGCGTAAAGAAAAGGTTTGCATATAGAGGGCAGCACTGAATGGGAATATCTAATTATGTGAGTAGAGGTAAGTGCCTATCAGAAATACATTTTCAGTATAGGAAAATTATAACTTTGTTGAGCTGGAGGATTATCCAGCAGCTCACAATACTCCTGGTCTAAAGTGACATTAAAAACCAAAAGAAATCTATAGATTAAGATGTTGGACATTAAAACTCCTGAAAAGATAATGAATGGGCTCACACGAGTTAAAGGCACTTAGTCTGCAACTACCATTAGCAACATCTACAATCCTAGCATTCCAAGCTAATGCACCAGCTGTGATCAAGAAAGCATCATCTGTTCCTATGAAACTCTTGAAGCTGAACTTCCCCACAGCACTGCCCACTAAATGAGCTAAAATACAGTTAAAATAAATACTGAGAAGAAAGCACTGGCATTTTACCATATGCCTCAATAAATGTAATGTATATTTACACTTCAAACAGAACCACTTCATGCTAATACAAAAGTGACCTTCCTGGTGCTTAAGTCTGTGAAAATGTCAAAGAGGGTCTAGAAAGTCCAATTACCAACATCATACAAACTACCATCAATGTCAAGGCCTCCACTTCAGTTGAGACTCCACCAACACTGCAAGAATCTCAGCTACAACTAGAGTTTCTGACAAACAATCATCCAAAATACCATTTCCAGATGATGCCTTTACTAGCAAATCCATGGTCACGAATAAATTAAGTTTTTCTGAAATGTACAAAGGCCTATTATATTTTTAAATACTACAACTTATATCTAGTACTTTAGGGATTTTCAGGAATTAAAAGACTGCATTTTAATATTATTCCAACCATCTGTATTTGTCAAATCCATTGTTGAGGATGCATTTTGCTCAATCCTGGGTGCTTCAGGCCAGCTGGGATACAACAAACACTGTAGTAGTCAGAACATAAGTTAATTCAGATGTTAATAGTGGATGTTTGTATGTATTCTGTTATAAATATACTTGCATTGAAAATACAGTAGTTTCTGGTGTCCTTTTGTTCCTGATATGGCATTTTATAATCAGTATCTATTTATTAAGTTAAACCTTTATTTATACATTGGAGTTATTTGCACATGATGATGTCATAGAGATGGTCATCTTGTATTCTCAAGGTTGTCTATTTATTTATTGATATGTTGTGTATGAAATCATTCTCTATATTTGTATACATGTGTATTTACATTGAAATAATCGAGTTAAAGATTGTTTTTATTTTTCTAGGTGTTATTTTCCAAAATGTTGGATATAAATATTGGGTGTTTTTTTACCTGTACATTTTACACACGAATAATTTGGAAGCAGATAGTGTGTGTGTGTGTTTTATTTTTATAACTCTTTAAGTAAAGAATTGTAATGCTATGCATGTCTATGATGTAGCTTGTTTTCTTGAATTTTATGCTTATGTTTGGTTTTTCAGTAGTTTGGTATTTGATTTAGCTGTTATATATATTTTATTTTATGCTTCTGTTAATGTGTATGTACTTGTTTTTTTCTTTGTTTTTTAGGACCTTGGAGGAAAGAGCGCAGAGACTTTTCTATACAAAAGGTAAAAAGTTGAGTGAACTAGATCCTGCTTTGTTCACTAAATCTAAACCAGGTAAAGCAGGCAAGAATAAAGACAGTGAAAAGCAAAAGGAAATTGCCATATTAGAAGCACAAGTGTATCGTTTAGTGGAAATTCTGTCAGTAAGTTGTTTGTTTATAGTTTCATTTAGGGCAATAAGAGATTCATTAATGTTCCTTCAAGTTGGAACTACAGAATGACTGCAGATTTCAGAAAGCATAGCATTATATACTAACAACAACTCCCATTCTTCTCAGGGTGAAGGTGCTACCCATATGACAGACAATCACTCTCACTTTGAAGTAAGGTATGCTATATCCATGGGGCAAAAAATAACATTGTTACTTTCCATACAAGATGCACTAAGGTACAGCAGTCTTTCCTACTAAAGAGCATTTTAACTTTTTCACTGACCTAGTTACATGAACAAGTAGAGTAAAATGAACCTAGTGGCACCATTGACTGGCTTTCTGTGTTAAGACCAGAATACTTATTATGCATAGAAAATTCAGGTACAGTGAAATCTTTTTCATTTGAGTGCTTTTTGTATTGAAGTAGCTCTTTCAGTTTTAAAAGATATCCATGTCAAACCAGTCACTTTGAATACAGTGGACACTGTTTATTATTATTATTATATATATATTGTCAATCATTGCTTAATCAAAGTGGCATATTATGTCATCATGTTGTTCAATTCATTGACTTACTTATAGAATACATAGTACAGATTGCTTTCTTGTATCAACAAATATTACATTTTAATATCTGTATTTGGTTTGAACACATTGACTTGACTATATCATAAATTAGCCTAATGACGTTTATATGTACATCTGCAAAATTGTTGTAAATTGATATTTACTATGAGCATGCGTATTTTGTGGTCAGTAATTATCACCTCATTTCCTGATCTGGTGGATCACTACTTGACTTTTTGTGAGTCATGTACATATAACCAAATTAACTATCCATAAGAACTGCATGTGTGTTATAAGAGATAGGTGTATGTTTTTGGAATGCAGATTATTGATTAAGTTTCCAATTGTGAAAAGATAGGTATGTAACAAACAATCCAGAGTGCAAATAATCTAAAATGTCAATTTCCAAATTGATGATGGTTCACCGTGTATGTTAACTAAGATTGTGGGAAATTCTTAGTATGCCACCTGGAACATAAAAAATTTTTAAAAACCAATTAAAACAGCTTATGTATTGGTCCAGAAATTTGTGTGATTTACCTTCACCCTTGCAAAACTACTTGCAGTACATACAAATAAGAGGAAACACAATTTTACAATAAAACAAAAAGAACATAAGCAAGAATTACAACAGTTCATAAACATGCAAATTCTTCTTTAATCATTAGGCAAAACAAACTCATTAAATCTCTCACTATGGGTGTAGATCAAAGTGCTCATGTCATGAATTTTTAGTAAATTACATTATTACTTTATTATCATTGTATATAAATAAATTTGGTATCAAAATGCAGATATTTAATCTAATTTTAATGTTATATGCATTTTATGCTCTTAATTTTATAAGGAAATATTTAAATAGATCCTCAAGTTCCTGTGATATGAGAATTATGACATTTGTTCTCTAGGTCTTCCATCTTCTCTAATTTATTTACCATACTTCACAGAAGTATGGAATTTAATGTAAAGTACTTACTACAATATGGATATTACTCAGACAATACATATTTTTTATAGCCTTTGATCTCATTTGTTTATAGAGCCATAAACTAGAAAATCAGACCATATCCTCTTTTCCCAAATTCCCTATAGTTCTCTCTGATGTTTTATACTGTATTATTTATAACCAGTAGAAAGACAGTTTTAACCTATCAAATGACATATTGTACTATATCATCTAGTTTTTGTATGGAGAATTGTCTATTTCACTTCTAGTTTAAACTTTATTCCCATAGGAAACACATCAACGAGCTTATCTGAATTTTTAATGGTTCTTATTGCATAGTTAGAAAGCCAGAAAAATTATGATAGTTGTAGGACATTCTTTGCATTTTTCATGTTAGTATTCTATATTCTTAAGTGCATTATTTAATTCAATAAAATTATGTAGTAGTACCATTAGTATAAAAAAAAACAGGCTTGAGTTTCATAATCAGTCAAAAACAAAAAAGAAAACCCAGGTAGGTATTATGTTTTTTGTTTTTCACATGTATTCTTTATTTATTATCAATAAAAGTAACTAAAATGTAAAAATTATATCCTTTTTTAGTTAGATTAGGCAAGATAAAGAAAAAATAATGATAGTGAACATTCTTCACAAGGTATATGAGCTACACATTTGCCGAGTGATGTTCAAGAAAAAAATTATCCTAGGTATATGTTGCATCTCAGAAGGAATTGATACAAGAATACATGGTTTCAATATTATCCAAAGTAGAAATAAGATATATATATATATATATATATATATATAACCTTTCAAATATGAATCTTAAAACAAAAAAATAGATAATTAACTAAAATATAAAAGTAAAATCCAAATGCAATTTAACTGTCTATCAAACTAATATGTGTAATGTGAGAAACAACCAAAAATATAGGAAATGACCAAGGGGTATGAAAAGGTAGAAGAGTAGACCAGAATACTTTGATTTATGGCTTAGGAGATGATAACCCATGACAGTGACCATACCCAACTATACTAGAATATCTTCAAGAGTAATATCAGCATTTGGCAAAACGTTTCTCTATAATTTCTGTATGTAGATGTACATTTTTGTTGTGTCCAAACATTTGTTTCAGTTACAGTTAGATTGACTAACTATAAAAGGGTTAAAAATAGTCTAAAGGATTTATGCACTTACTCCTCTTTCAAAGTGCGGAAGATGTATTGATTTTTCACTTGTCTGGGCTCCAGTGTTCCATTTCTTTTTGCAAGCAAGATATACTTCATGTACATCACTGCCTGTAGCCTTACTCTGTTTGTTGATGCTATTGAATTGGAAGGCCCAGCAACTTTTAGATCCTTAATCCTATGACTACCAGGTCCTTAAATTATAAGGACCTAACATTCGCTATTGTTACATTTTATTCCAAAAATAAAACTAGCAGATGAAATTGTTTGAAATTTGACAAGAACGTTCTTAAAAGTATGTAGTTTTAGAAAAAATAGTTAATTGATATGTTAATGTAGTTATTTGCACTTGCACTCTTAATAGTTCACATGCTAGGTGATTTTTATTTTGAGTATAAAAATATTATTTATAATCTTGCAGTTTTCACATTTCATTTGCATAATCTTTAGAACCTTCTAAATGAATATCAAAAGTTTTTAAGGTAAATGTTTATATTTTCTGTACAGCATAACTAACTAGCTATTATCATCAATGTACAGTGCAATGAAATGTTTCAACTTAAGAAATGGAAATATTTACTTACCTTCATAGAATAGTCTTGCAATATATTCTTTGGGTTAGATGCATAATTTAATGTCTTTACCTTTTCATGTATAGTTTATTTTTATTGTTTTATTTTCCTTTCCAATTTTTGTCTTATTATTTTATGCCAAAATGTCACCTGGTGCCTGCAGGCCATTATTACATACTGTTCATGAGAGATACATTAGTTGCAGGCAAAATGTTTTGCACACATCCTTTGTTTAGAAGTCTTGATGAGATAGGAGACGAATAAGTAAACTTATAAAAATCATTAAACCTTTCAAATATGAATTTTAAAACACAAATAATTAAAAATTAACTAAAAATATAAGTAAAATGTAAATGCAATTTAAGCAAATTAATACATATAAAGTGAGAAACAAGTGTTAGGGACACTTAAAATTCACAACAGACATAAATTGAAATTTGCTTGTCATTTGAAAAAATAATCTAATACTTGTGTCCTTTAGCCTGGAGAGACTAACCGTGAAATCTGCTCTTTCTGTTTGTTATAAGCTTCCAATTCAAGTATGCATAAGACTGTTGCTTAGCATCAGATTACTTTGAAATGTGAGCCTGATGTCTAGGAGTTGGGGGGAGGATAACAGCCTTTCTTAAGAATTCTAGTTGCAGAAATATGAAACTACTGTATGAAATTTGACCTTGTACATGTAGAACTTTCTAGACTATCGTAGAGGTACTGAGAGTGAGATGTAAAGACACATAAGCAATCAAACCTAAGGTTTTTCAATGATATTCACATCACTTGACAAGACAACTGAAGATTTAATTGTTTGTTTCAGAGGTTTCTTTTAAAATAAAGTAATAGTAATTTGTATAATATAAACTTTGAATTATAATGCATTTGATAATGCTTATTTCATTAAAATACATTGAAAGTAAATTGGTTTAATTAAATTTTCGTTGTAACTCAGCAACACTTTGTGATATGCACAGAAGAGTTTTAAAAAGTGTACCAATTGCTATAGGGTTAAGAAGATCCTAAATATGACAGTCCAAATCCTCATTCAGTAAAAGACTTCATATATATACTAGATCTTTTTTTCTTGTTCAAATTAGAATAATGTGTGCAGTTATTTGGTATTCTAAAGCTGAGGCATCTATGGTATCGGTTCCAGAATAACCCAACAACTTCATGCTTCTCTTCATCAGAAGAAGAGGCATCCAAAAATAATTGCACTTCATCATGTGTAGTGTTTCCCTGCTGTTACTTAGATTTTGAAAATATTGTAAGTAAACAATATATATATATATACACACACACACACACACACACACACACACACACACACACACACACACACACTACGTACGTACTACTACTACTATTAGTACTAATATATGACTAACTAACTTACGTTACGTAACGTAAACTAAATTAATAACTAAACGTAAAGTAAACTAACTACTAAGTAAAGGTAACGTAATAACTA